GCTTGTAACCATGCAGGTTATAAGAAGCTGCAGCTTTTCTGTGGATGTGTTCTAACCGCCAGAGGGGGGAAGTCAAAGCTGGAAATGAGAGAATAATGGGCTAATTTTCATTTAACACAAAAACATGCTAGCAGCGATACGATGGAAAACAAATGTCCTGAATTCCCACATTTTGACATTTATTTGCTGCATTAAAGCTGCTGAACCAATGAAGAGACTGAGCTCAACTCCTGCAGAGCTGAAATAAAGAACTGATGAAGCTCCATCTTTCAGTAGAAGCTCTTACTGCTGCGAGCTAACAAGCTAACAGGAGCTAGCATTGTTCTTCAGCGGCAGATATCAGCGGCTTATAGTGAGGTGTGCTCTATAGTTGGGAAAATACAACAATAAAACAAATTTGAAACTTAGGAAAAAGTTGTTTGGAACTTAAAAGAAATGTTTAAAAACATTAAATGTTTTTGTATTTCGGTTTCAAAATGCTGCGCATCGGAAATGTCTGATGAATAAATGTCACACAAGTTGGTCAATATTAGGATTTTGTGTTTTAAGGCATGATATTAAAAAAAAGTAACATTGACATCGAATATCATTGATTCACAGATATTTTAAGGATCTAAATTGATGAAAAAAATGTTTTCTAAAAACAGTTTAACTTCATTCTTTTTTTCCACAGTTCCTGAATGCAGCAGCGGGGAATGTTTTTACTTTCACTCATCATTCAACCCGTGTCATCTAATGCAGGAGATGATCTCTGAGATATACGGAGGGCCAAAGAAGCAAATGTGAATGTCCTTTGAAATAAATAGCATTTATTTATATATCTATGCAATGCATGATTCAAATAAATATTTTCTGTTGTAAAAGGCACATTTAGATATTTTAAAAATACACTTGAAATTATGATTTATGTAACTTTTTTTTTTTTAAATCTATACATTTTTTAGCTTCATATCGATTAGGGGTCAGCAACGGGGGGCTCTTTAGTGCCCCCCTTGCGGCTCCCTGGAGCTTTTTCAAAAATGTATAAAAATAGAAAAAGATGGATTTTTTTCTTTTGTTTTGTCTTAATATGTTGTACAGGAGGTGAAACGTTCATATCCTGCAGCAGGTTTCAGCGCGGCGCGGAGCCAGGCAGGTGGCTGCTGTAAAACAGCGGCGGGTGCATCTCAGGCCATGGATCACAAAGGGAATAAATGCTGATGAGAAAAGAGGATTCAAAGAAGAATGCAGTGAATCATTTGCTTCCATTACCAATGAGGAAGGACTGCCTGCATGTTTGCTTTAGAATGAGTTGTCAAATAATAA